CGTCCTCCCGCAGCTGTGCTCCGGGATCAGAGTCCTGAGGCGCGTCCTCCCGCAGCTGTGGCCCGGGGCTGAGGTCCTCGGATGCATCTCCCTTCAGCCCTGCTCCGGGGTTGTGGTCGGCCGGCTCCGCGGGGTCCGCGCCTACCAGCACGTCCAGGATAGTGGGCCCGCGGCCGGCCGCAGAACCTGAGCCAAAGACCAGGTCGGTGCGCGAGGCGCGGTCCCACACCAGGCGGCCGCGGCAGCGGAAGTAGCGCACGCGGTGCTGCGGCACGGCCAGCACGCCCGGGCCCAGGGCCGCCAGCGGCTGGTCCCAGCAGAAGGCGCTGAACGGCTCCTCGCGCACGCCCAGGAAGCGGTCGGCGTAGCCCACCGAGAAGTCGGCGGGGTCCAGGCGCGGGTCCCAGCGGATGCGCTGGATGACGGCGGCGGCCGTGCGCAGCGCCGGCTTCTTGGCCTCCGCCTCGAGCTGCGGCCGGCTCGCGGGGCTGGGGACCGGCAGCTCCGGCACGCCAGGGTGGGGGCGGCGGCAGCGGGCGCCGAAGCGGCAGCGGCCCTCCAGGAAGAAGCGGCAGGCCGGAGGGTCCTCGGGCGACAGCTCCGGTTCTCCTGCCGCTGCTGGGGGTGCCGAGGCTCGTCCTGCCGGGACAGTGCTGGGGGCAGGCGACGCTTCCGACTCCGCCGCAGCCTCCATGGAGCCAGCCGAGGGTCAGCACGCCCGCCCGGCTGTGGCCTCGGGGCAGGAGGCCTGACCCCGCCCTAGTGCCTTATTTGCATACGCCTGCTTAGTTCGGCTCGCTGACTAGCTACATCTACCCTCGGCCACGCCCACCGTGGCTGATTTGCATGAGCCCGCCCCCAGGCCCGCCCCTCGGGGAACCGGCGCGGCCGTGGGACTTTCCGCGCCTCTGCGGCGCCCTGTAGACCTGAGTCACCTGCGGGTCGGGCTGAACTTCGCACCCCGGGCTAGGGGCGACGCCCGGCCTGCCCACACGGCGCTGAGGGGCGGCCCCACCCGGCTCGAGGTCCCGACCCGCTTCCCGCCGCCCGGCCCTCGCGGTCAGTGAGCAGAGCCTGGTGGGCGCGAGTGGGCCGCCGTTTATGTCGCGCCGGCAGGGCTACTACAGGCCGAGCCCGCGGTCCAGCTCCAGGCGCGGGGCCCGGCGGGGCTGTGCCCCGGAGCGCGCGTGCGCGTCCGTCTGGGCGTCCGCGGCCCCCGCGCCACCAGCGTCCATGACGCCCAGCACAGCGTCCAGCATGGAGGGACCCAGGTCCAGATGGAAGGACAGCAGCGGGTCGGGGGGCGCCGCGGGCGCGGGCGGCGGGGTCCTTGCGGGCGGCGCCTGGGGCTCAGCCGCTGGCTCGGCCCCGTGGAGGCTCAGGAAGGAAGTGTCCCCGAAGGCGTCGCCACCGCGCCCCACGTGCAGCGTGTGCCGGAAGTCGCCGAGGGGCGCGGAGATAGACGGCGCCCCGCTCCTGGGGCTGCGCTTCTTGCGCTGCGCGGAGCCCGGCTGCTTCAGCATCGGCATCTGCGGGGAAAGGGGTGTTAGTGCGCCCGCCCGTAAGGTGCAGGGCAGGAGGGATCGTTTCCATTTTACAGGTGGGGAAACTGAGGACAAAGCTCTCGGCTGCTGGACTCAAATCTCAGATGCGGACTCTGGCCGGCCTGGCTCCTGCGTGCCCCCCAGCACTGTGCTGAGCTTCTTAGAGCCTTCCTATAGCAAGAAATGCCCTCCAGATCTTAGGGCGCTTCTCCATCTGTCTGAGCAAACTCCAGTGGGAGATCTCCAGGGCTGAAGGGCCTTGACTCTGTCCCTTAGGCAACGCGGGGACAGTGCTTTTGTGTCCACAGGTCCTAACTGGGGCCAGCCTGCAGGCCCGTGTGGGGCAGGTCTGGGGCGGGCCTAGGGATGGACTGTATGTTTCCACATCATTTAGTTATCTGGTTCTGAGAGGCCATGACCTAACAAGACAATCTGTTATATTTTATAAAACAACCCAAATTACTGTACATTAAAAAGTGGCAGGCTGGGAAATTGGCTCTGTAGAACAAGCGCTTGCCTGGCAAGCACAAGGGCTTGAGTTCAATCCCTGGTTCCACAAAAAAAAAAAAAAAAAAAAAAAGTCATTCTCTTTAAAGGGGGCCAAGGAGATGGCTCAGTAGAGTAAGTGCTTCCTTGGCAAGCGCAAGGGCCTGAGTTCAATCCCGGGTTCTGGAAAAAAAAAAAAATGTGGTATCTGGATTTGGTTGGAGGGAAATAAAATGTAGGCAGCACCGACCCTCATCACGGAACTGGGCGGTTTTCTGTGGAACTTCTGGGTGGGTCTTTGGTGACTTTGTAGTTCTGTCCCAAAAGTCACCTCACCGCTGTTAAGATGAGAACCTTCTATTTCAGCAGAAGCCTCACCCTTTGCCAGCTGGCTGCATCAGGATAAGTGAGTCTGTTTTCCTTTGTAAAGTGGCTAACATAACACCACCTCCCTACAGAGCACACACAACAGCTTCCCTGAAGAAAACTGTATTTGTGTGTTAGCCATTGGTACTGCTGTGTTGGCAGAGGGGGTGCCGGCCCTGAACAGTAACTGCTGAGACCTCATAAGGCAGCAGGCAGGAGGCGAGCAGCCAGCACTGTCCTATCAGTAACCAGCTTCCTAGAAGTGTCAGAGAGAAGCCACACGGTTCACAGTCCTGTAGGTGGTTGGACCCTGAGGACTGCCCTACACCTCTCTAGCTCGACCCCTAGCGCTCCACCCTCCGGGGAAACCAGGCTTGGTTGCTGCTTCTGTGCTGTTGATCAGCCTTCGCTTTCCATAAGCAGTTGGAGTACACATAAGTGAACGGTATCCAACACAATTACCACTTCCTCCTCAACAGAAACAAACATTTTGTGAAACAAGACTTATCCTTACAAGGCTGTGATATTTTCTGCTCTTTAAATGCTCAACTTGGTTCATTCATGAATCCTGATGCAGTTTCAAACCGGAAGTCCTTCTACACGCCAGCTGGTGGGGCCCTACCACCAGCCCCTGACCTGCGGAGGGCTATGGGTCACCAGGGCAGCAGGCCTAAAGCCAGGTTTGGACCTGGCTCTGCGCATACTGTGTTGCTTTGGGTAATTTCTGTAACCTTTTGACCTCATCTCTGATTGCACCTGGAAAATAGAGGGATCCTAGAAGCCTTCAGTGCTTTTGGTAAGGATTGGTGAGATGTATCGCTGTGCCCAGCAGGCGCACCACCACGGATGCTCAGGAAGCAGAGGCCAACCGCCGCTGTGGCTCGGACCCCGCGTCCCAGGCCAAGCTCACAAAGCCAGCACCCGGGGGGCTCCGGCCCTGCCCACCACCTCTGGGGGTCCCCTCTGACACTTAGGGCTGCTGCCTCTTGGGGCCCTGCCCTACCGGTGCAGACCAGGCCACTGTCACTGCTGGTTCTGACATCACACATTCCTGGGCACAGATTCTGTCCCCCCCCTCCTGGCGGGGCCCTGAGTTAGCTTCCTCTCTTGCCCCTCAGCACCGCGGCGGTGCTCAGGGCAGAGAAGCGTCATCAGGCTCACTCGGAAGGCGTTGGTTTGCGTGCTTCACACACGAGCTAAAATACTTTCTCCAACAACCCAGAGAGGGGAACTACAGGGGTACTGTCACATCTGTGATGTGCGCTGGCTGCAACAGAAGTGCAGTGACTTGCCCCGGGTCACACAGGAGCCAGTGCTGCCAACCCTGCTCCTCTGAAGGCCAGGCTTGTATTGCGCAGAGCCACACCCAGGTGACAGTGGCTGTGCAGTCACAGTCACACATGAGGTTCTGGTTGGACAGAAATGAGGCCAGCAAGGCCGGCATATGGTATACCGGAACTCTGGAGATCCCAGAACTCTGGAGGCTGAGACAGAAGGATCACCAGGAGTTTGAGCCCAGCCTGGACTACTTAGTTAGACCTTGTCTCAAACAACAAAACAAGAGGCCGGGATTTCCTCGTGCCCTGCATTGTCCCTGTCTTCGTTCTTTTGCACTGCATATGAGAAAGTCTGAGGGAGACCAGCTTTTGAATGCAGCCCCTCTCCTGGCTAGCTCTGAGACCTTGGGCAAGTCACTCCCTGTTCCCTAGGGTGTCCCCTGAGAACCAGCCTCTAATCTCCACTCACCCGGTTGCTGAGCTTCCTGCAGTGAGGTCACTCTTGGAAAAAGTTCATCACCAGGGGTGGGTGGGGGCTTGGACAGAGGGGCTGTTGTTTTGGGCCAACGTGAAAGCGGCACAGCCAGAGCAAAGGAGCCCGTGCCTGGGCCCATCCTTCCCTTCCTGCCCCAGTAGGGTCAGCTCCTGATGCAGGGGCTCAACTGGCTCACTTCAGTTCTGCGGGCGGCCCCTGCCAGCGTGGAAAGACTGGCCCAACCAGTTCTGAGACCCGCTGGCCACCGGACTGGGCCCTAAGAGGGCCTCGCACTCGCAGGCTGCAGGCTGCGTGGCTGGGCTGGACTGGACTCAGGGCCCACTTCTCACGCGGTCCCTCTTCCCTCAGCATAGATCAGAACCACCCGTCTCTTACCAGCACCCCTTACCTGGCAGTTCTCACTGAGCACTGAAGGTGCTGGTCCTCCTGGTGCCGGGGCTCAGAGTCCGCTTGGCTGGCCCACTGCGCACCCTTCTTCCGCCTTCCTCCTGGCTTCTGCCAGGCAGGATCTCACCTGGCAGAGAGGTGTCAGGTCTCACCAGGAGCCGATGTGGGGTCCAGGTGTCCACTTTCCTAGGGCCGCCGCCTTCCCAGCCCTATCCGCCCCCCCCTTTAGCCCAGGGGTCCTGCCACCCGTGCCAGACCCTTCCCTACCTGCGCCCAGGACTGTCAGCCCCTCTCATGGGCCATGGTGGGAACCCAAGCGAGAGCGGAGTCACGGCCCAGGCCTCCTCAGCTCGCAGTCCAGCCGCAGAGTACAGCCACAGGCCCTCCCTAGCCTCTTTATCCCCAAAAGCTGGCCTTTGGGACTCAGTACCACAAAGCAGCCGTAGCAAAGCTGACGCCCCTCCCTCGGACTGAGGCTCCGAGCAGCCGCGAGGAGCAGGGTGTGGGTGGAGAGCAGCGGGGCGGGGAGGGATGGAGCACGCCCCCAGTGCCCCGCCCCCGCCCAGCTTGGAATTTCCTGAAACTGGGGAAGTCTGGCTGTTTAGAGGAGTAATTTCTTCCAGATTCAGCAGCTGTTGGGCGAGTGTAGGTTAGGGAGGAGAGAGAGGGAGAGAGCGAAGAAGCTATGGTTTCCAGGTAGTAGGTCAGCGTCACCCCAGCCAGCGGTGAGGACAGCCCCACTCTGACCCCGCCCTGGCCGCCTATCCCTAGAAAAGTAAAAGTCATTAGGTCTCTGAACACCTGTGCTGCCTCGGAAGTGAGCGAGATTCCGCCGGTAGAGAGGTCCCTCCGGGCCTGGGGCAGGCAGGGCCAGAACCAGGAAGAGCCACAGTGCCTGCGCGGAGGCTGGTGCAGGGCTGGCAGCTGGGTCATAGGTCCCAGACGGCTGAGGGGTGGCCAGGGCGGGGCGGTGGCCAGGAGAGACAGCAGGACGCACCGGGCTCTGCCACTGGAAGAGGCGTGGGCATTCAGGGGGAGGCAGGCAGGCAGCCTGGTGGGGCCAAGCGTCAGCCCGGGTGGGCTTCGCTTGCGCAGAGGCCAGCTTGAAGGGGACTGGGCCGGAGCCAAGACTGTCCTGGACGGGTAAATAGAGCCAGGACAGGCCTTAGCAGGTTCCCTTGGGGTTCCGCGTGTGGGATGGGCCTGGAGCTGGCCTGGGCTCGAACATTTAAAGGGAAGGAGAGGTTGTCAAAAACAGCAAGACAAATATGCCTAAATGAAAGATTTTCTATCAGGGCTGAGTATGTGGCACGGTGGGGAGGGAGGTCTCTTGCCTTTCATCACAAGGCCCTGGGTTCGGTCCCCAGAGCCACAAAAAGTAAAAAGATTTTTATCCAATATATATTTTTTTCAGGCAGGGGATATAGTTCAGTGGCACAAGTCCTGCCTAGCGAGCGCAAGGTCCTGGTTTGATTTCTGGTGTGTATATATATTTGATATAAAATTAAAAAATATAATTTTATTTTTGTATTTCTGAAACTAGGTCTCACAACATAGTTGACGCTGGCTTTTGAGGCCGGCTCTGCGCTCACTTAATGTGGTCTGATCCGGTAGAGGATCTTGGTGCTCTTCCAGGGTCAACTTCCTGAGTGCTGAGATTATGTGAGCGGGCCACCAGGGCGGGCCACCATCTCCGGCAATGTCACCATTTAAAATCGACAGTTGAGTGTGCATGGGCAGGGGGTGGAGTCCCATTTTATGCAAACACTAGTTCTAAACAATTCCCTACACTAAAAGTCCACAGCACAGTCGCTCTGCCAGCCCGGGGGTGACGCCGGGAGTTTCCCTGTTCTGGACACTGAGTGTAAACGGAGCTTTACGTGGTGCAGCCTCAGGCGTCCGGCTTCTGTCCCGACGTGTCTTTGAGGTTCGCGCACACTGTAGCGCCCCCTTCACACAGCGCTAACTCCCGCGCCTGTGAGCCAGGGGCGGGGCTCTGTGGCAGACTAGTGCTGCCACCCACGTGGCTGAGTGGTCCCCGGCACCACCAAAGCCACCCTGTAGAGAGCCATTTCAAGGTTGTGAAGCACGTGCCTGTGGGGCCAGGAAGGCCAAGGCACCAGGCAGCCGCCACCGAGAGGAAGCAGAACTGGTCCTCAGGGCGTGCTCTGGGCTCCAGGGCCTTTCTAGGGGTGATGTGCACCCCCTCTCCAGGATCCGTGGGGGCGGCCTCCCTCACTTGGAGCTGAAGAGCGGGGCTGGATTGGAGGTGCTGCCACATGTACAGAGGTGCCCTGTAGCAACACCCAGAGCACTGACTGATGGGAGACCTGGAGGGAGACTAGCCAGGGGACAGAGAAGACTGTCACATGAGGATCATCGCTCAGGGAGGGCTACAGCCTGGGCGTACCTGCAACCCCTCCACTGCATGACAGGGCAGGAGCACAGCTTGAGGGTGGCGTTCTGCCGACTGCCTTGGCCCTCAGAGGTCATCCAAGTGGGGACACTGGACGTGGGCCTGTGTGGTCCCCCAGAGAGCTCAGATGGGCCTGGCACTCAGCTCTGTGCTCGCCATCAAGCGCCTGGAACTCATCATTTTGAAGAATGGGCCGGTTATGGTTTAGGTGTGCGATGGCCCCAACACCTCAGACATTTGGAAAGTGACTGGGTCAGAGGTGACAGGGTCAGGCAGGAGAGGGAGTCGGGGGTCCCTTCCCAGTTTCACCCTCAACTCTCTGTGGCGAGTGGCTTCCTCTGTCAGGCCCTTCCTGCCTTGGTGCCGACTGTGGACTGAAAACATAAGCCAAAATAAACTCTTCAAGTGGCAGGGTCTTGCCATTTTGTCCCAACGACAAGGAAAGTGACTAAGGCAGGGACTCACCTTGTCCTCTGGCGCTGCCTGGAAACACAGGAATCCAAGGCCGGGACCATGTGTCTAGGAAGGGCGCCTGAGAGAATGCAGGAGGCAAGCGAAGTTTCAGCACGGTCCAGGCAGCAGCCAGAGCCGCAGAGAAAGGTGCATCCCAAGAGCCCGGAGGGGAAGCGCGGTCCACTTGCTTGGGTCTCAGAAGCAAGCCCTGCGCAGTAAAGCAGAACACCACAGCGGGTGCACTGGAGTTAGTGAAACCCAGGGCCTACTGAGGCTGGGCAGGTGGGGGGCACACAGGGTTGCCGAAGAGAGGAAGCGCAGAGATGAGGAAAAGCAGCTCAGGCAGGCCTCCTGGGGGACGGGGAAGGGCAGGGAGACCGCCTCTGCAAAGAGATCCCCCCACACCCCGAAAGCTTTTCTCTTTGGATGGTTCAGACATTTGCTGGGAGTTTTTATTTCTTTTTTTTTTTTTTCATAATTTTATTGATAAACAAATAGCAATGAGACAGTTTCAAATCAAATAGCTAGGACAGTTTCAATAATTAACACACTGCATACATTCTTC